TCCCGAGAGAAGAATGGAGGAGAAGGGATTGTGGCATGGCCATCCCCTCTAGGGGGTGATTTCTCGCTTTCTATCTCTCTGTCTCTCTACCTCTGTCTGTCTGGCGAGTGTACGCGCCCTATGGCAAAAACCTCTACCCAAAAAAAACAGAATACTTACAGAGAATAAATTTCACTTTTCTAAATCTGAAGTAGTCTACCTCTTAATTTGTTCTGCACCATTGCTGCTAAAATACAACTTTGGATTAGGCAAAGTTTCTTAGTAACATAATTATTATATTAAAGGAAAATGATAACGATAGTTAACATTACTTAGCATTTATGAAGCACATTTATTGAGCAGACATATGGTCTCTCGTTTTATCCTCATGATGACTCTACAAGGTAGAGTTTTCTCAGGCTTATTTTGTGACTAAAGAAACAGAGACAGAGAGGATAAGTAACTCACCCAAGGTCATATGACCAGTAAGCAGTAAAGCCATGATCTGACTCCCATAGTCCATCCTATGCCAGAGTCTTACTATAAACCGCTACATTAAACCACACATCACGGAACCTGCCACCTGACACACACGGACCTGAGAGCAGGGCAACTCCAATGCACGTGGGCCTCACCGCCCAGCCTGTGACGTCTCACTGCCCATCCAGACTGTGTGTCAGCAGCTACAGCATCCCCAGCCCCCATGCAACTGCCCAAGCAAGCCCACTGTCCACCAACACTGACAGCCGCTCCTTCTGCGGCCAGAAGCAACAGTAACATTCTGACAGCTGGCAAAGGACAGCTCTACCCAGAACATGTGGGCACTTAAATTTTTCAAACCTTCCACGTGCAGGTGACTGATCTGCTTTCTTCCATTTTCTCCTGCAGAAAACTGCAAACTACAAACCTTCAGATACCTTAAACTCTTAGCTACCTATTGTCTTATAGATGTCTCTTATAGATGTTCCTCCTACCTACAAACTACAAACTCTCAGGGCCAGCAGGTGGTACAGAGGCTCAGGCAGCTAGCACATGGCTGACTGCGCGATTCAAGTCCTGAACCCAGTGGCCTGAAAATCACACCAGGCACGCATGTGTGCTGCATACCCAGAATCACAAGAGGAGAAGCTACTGCAGGGCAGCAGGCCTCCTGGAGGGGTGATTTCTCATTTTCTCACTTCCTCTCTCTCCCCCCACCTCCCTCCCTCCCTCCCTCCCTCTCTCTCTCTCTCTCTCTCTCTCTCTCTCTCTCGTGCACATGCCCTATAGCTAACTAAATAAAAAGCAAGTAAACAAACAAATTATCAAGTTTCAGACACTTTAAACTCTGTGTCACCTGTGATTTAAAGGGGGTGGGGGTACTTTACATGATGAAATTGCCTAGGTAAGAAGTTGGCTCTTTGGGAAGCCAACGTGGCATAGTAGTTAAGGCACTAGACTCCCACGTGGCCAACCACTGTTGGAGTACCGAACATGGCAGCTTGAAAATCATGCATTTTCAAGGTGCGTGTGCCTATGTACCCAAAATCCTATGAGGAGAATAAAGAAGGAACTGTGGCAAGGCCATCCCTCGAGGAGTGTAATTTCTCACATTCCCTCCCACTGTCTGTCTCCAGTGAACAAACCCCCTATGGCAAAAACCTTTATAAAAAAAAAAAAAAAAGTTTTCTACCCCATTAATGAGATAAAATCTCCCTAGAATTCTCATATGACATACCTTGCCGTAATCACTGTAAAATAATGCTTGCTTGTGTCCAGCTCCCTGTCATATGCTTCTCCGTTACTCCTGCCCCTCGGGTGGACAGGAGCATCCTCACTATTCCACAGACAAGGGAATGTGTCCTGCAGAAGCTGAGTAATTCACCCAGAAGCACACAATTTGCAAGTAATGGAGCGGAGACTCAAGGCTAAGCTGATTCCTAACACAAGCCATTAAAATGACAAGGAATCCAGTTCTGCGTTTCTTTGATAATTCAGAACAAGAGTCTCTAAAGACTTCAGTCTTTCCTGAGAACATCAAACACAATCATACCCTGGAACCCTGGCGTGGCCAGTAAAATGGTGGCCCAGTTGAAGAAACGCCAAATTAGGCATTTATAATTAGGCATTATATTCCTCAATTTATAATAGTCATGGAGCTGTCTCTGAGATGTCACTTTAAAATGTGACGAAAGGGGAGAAGCTCTAAGATGGAAATTAACGATGGGGCCATGGTGCCAATGCCCCGTTACATACCCACGGCAGTTACCTCAGTGCCCTCACACCTTCCAGTAGTACAAAGATGGGGAACACCACTGCTGCTGCGAACTCACTGAACTCCGCATCCTTTGCACACCCAGGAGAATACTTACCTTCTGGGCTTACTTACTTAATAGAACAATCAATAAACTGCTTCTCTTAACCAAAAACGGGAAAACTGGAAACAACCCAAATGTTAAACTGACCATTTCAGGTTGGAATGGCCGACGGAATGCGGTGTGCTAACTCGATGCAATTCCATGTCCAGTGTACAAACATGGCTAGTGTGAAGCCTGCACGAAACAGTGAAAACTGCTGTTGCAGTGGTACGTAGTGGAAGGAGGTACACTGCAGAGAGCTGACCGGATTGTAAGGACCATATATAAAATGTGTTTGCACATGAACAAATTTGGTTAAAATGCATGTTTTTATGAGAGTTGAAGTTTGTTGTTGTTCACTACAGTTTACTAAGATATAAACATGGTCACAAAAAAAGGAAATAAAATGTCTCTTCTATAAAAACAGGCTTAGACCAGGCCACTGCTTAGGGGTGAAGAGAGCCAGATTCCATATGACTGACCACAGTTGGAGTCCCAGGCCCCAGGGGCTTGAAAACTGCACTGAGTACAAGTGTGTGCATGCCTGTAGTCCCACGAGACGGAGACATGGAGAAGGGACTGCAGCATGACTGTGCTCCACTGGGGAGTGCTTTCTCCCTCTCTCTCATCTCTGTCTCTCTCTGTCAACCCCACATATTCTCTGGCAATTTAAAAAAAAAAAAAGGCTCAACTGTACTCTAGAGAAGAGTGAATGAAAAAAATATCCTGCCAATGTCATGATTCACCCACCCATGACATTACCAGAGACCCACAAGTTGGATCCTGCCCTCTGAGTACAGGGGTGCAGGAGCACAGTGCCGTGGTGCCGACAGGACTCAGCATCTGTGCAGGGCAAGCTACAGTCTCCGCCCAACTTACAAATGCACTACGCTTTGACCCAGCAACTCCACCTTCCAGAATGTTTCCAACAGACTCATGTAGAAACACAGTGATGCACACAAAGGCCTGCGGCAGTGATAGTAGTAGCAAAGTGACCTCAACGCCCAGCTGTTGTGGAGTGGTTAAATAAATTCCACTGCAGACAACAAAATGTCAAGAGTTATTACAAAGAAGATGACAGCACCGCTCACACCGACGACACAAACAATCTCTGAGATGTAAAGTGATTGGAGTGTAGGATGTGCTGCCATTTTGCATTGAGGAAGAAGAGGAGAAAGATTAAAGTGATTTAAAAAGGGGCCAGCAGGTAGCGTAATGGTTGAGGCACTGGACTCCCATATGGTCAACCATGAGTCAAGTCCCAGACCTGGTGGCTTGAAACTCATGCCAGGCGCATGTGAGTGTGTGACCAAATGGAGGAGAAGGGATTGCAGCATGGCCATCTACCCTAGGGGGTGACTCCTTGGTTTCTGTCTCTTTGTCTCTTGGGCAAGCATACCTGCCCTATAGCAGAAATCTCTAAAAAAAAAAAAATTAAAAAAAAAAAAAAGATTTAAAAAGTATAGCGGGACCAGCAGTTAGCGTAATGGCTATGTCACTGGACTCCCACGTAGTCAACCGCGGTTCGCATCCCAGACCCAGTGGCTTAAAACTCACGCCAGGTGCGTGTACATGTGTGCCCAAGATCCCAAGAAGAGAATGGAGGAGAAGGGATTGCGGTGTGGCCATCCCCCCGGGGGGTGATTTCTCGCTTTCTATCTCTCTGTCTCTCTCTGTCTTTCTGGCGAGCGCACACGCCCTATAGCAAAAACCTCTCCAAAAAGAAAATTATAGACAGCATACACAGCAATTTGTGAATACAGTCCTTTCTCTATACCCACAGAGGAATGGTTCCAGAACATTCTTCCACACAACTGACACCACAGCTGTGAATATTCAGGTCCCTTATATAAAATGGGGTATACAATCATGTGAGAGGGTGTAGTCTTCATATGACCCACTCACATCCTCCTGTTTTTTGGGGTTTTTTTTGTTTTGTTTATTGTTTTTGTTTTTGTTTTTTTTTTTGCCACAGGGCGGATGGCACTCACTGGAGAAAGAATGAGAAAGCAAGAAAGCACCACTCATGGGAATGGGCACACTATAATCCCTCCTCCTCCTCCATTTCTCTATTGAAATTTTGGGCATGCACACAATGGCCAGCATATTTTTCAACCCACTGTGTCTGAGATTTTAACCACACAGCTGGGCATGTGGGATCCAACTGCCTTGACCACCATGTGGCCAGCTTTAAATCATCTCTAGATTATCTACAATACCTAGAACTATGTGAATGCTATGTAGATTGTTCTTTTTCTATATTTTTTAATCTGTTTTGTTTACTGTTGTGTTTTTTTACTGTCGGTTTTTTGTTTTGTTTTGTTTTGTTTTTTAATGAACATTTCCAGGCTGTAGTTGGTTGAATCTGTGTATGTGGAACCCATGGGCGTGAAGGGCGGGTTGCACATGGAATATCTCTGGAATCAGTAACACTGACTGCCTCCAAGGAGCACCCTGGATGTCTGGGACAAGAGAGAAAGGATTTGCATTGTTTAACCTTTTGTGTTTTGAACCATGTACATTTTTATTATTTACTCTATGGAATAAGTTAAATTAAAATGCATGAACTTTAACTCCTTTGGGCCCTGTCTTTTCTTTCTTTTTAATTAAAAACTGCAGGTGACAGGGGTATCTGGGGCTTTAACAAGGCCTCCCATGCTCACTTCACCAGCCCATCCTCCCTACCTGGCCAGTGCCTGGACCTTCATGACGTGTCGCTCCTCCTGCTCAGCCACCTTCTTCTTCAAGGTGTCGACCTCCTGCCGGAGCGCAGCTGAATGTTCCATCTCGCCGTCAAGCAGGTTCCGCAGTGATCTGGGGAAGAGGGGGCCCCATCTGTTCAGATGCCAACAGCCAGTTCTTGACCTAAGTCAGGTTCTTACTTGTTCATTTTCCACAAAGTCTGCAGAGTCCATAATTCAAGTCTATCTCATACAAACTGACCTAAGAAGATGCCAAACTCTGAAGAGCCTCAGGGCAAGAATTAGGATGAGGCCCAGGGTAGTCCACCTGTGCCCAGGCTCCTGGTCACCTGTGAGCAGGCAGCCATTTGGCAGCTTTAATCAAGGGAAAAACAAGGAGTTGAGTGAACCCCAAGCAAGTCCTTTTAGAGATGTCCTACTGAAAAGGTGCAGCACATTAAATTGAGACCATTTTGTCACAGCCACACCAGGGAAGAGACTTAACAAAGGCAACAATGACAGGAGAGGCCAGAATAACTGCCTGAGGCACAGAAACAGATATCCACTCAGAAGATCCCAGAGGCGTCTTCTCTCGCTTCCAGCTCTGTCGACTCAAGGCAGACAAGCTCTAGACTCTGCCACTGCTTTCCCAGGTTCGACAAGCATATATGGCACTTCACACAACTACCAGTTCAGTACAGCACAGCAGTTTGGATTCCTGTTTAACCCCTTCCAAAATATGTTCACCTGCGTCTCTGCCATCGTTGCTCTTAAATAGAGCAGAAGATGGTAGCTCTTCCAGGCATCCTCCCACGTTACTGCCCAGGAGTGAGCCCACACGCTTCTAGCCTTTTACTTCACTGTACCTGAAGTGGCCCTTTCCAGAAAACATGACCAACTATGCTACAGGGACATACTACATCAAGATAACACTTGGTATGTGACATCAGAATATATGTAAAAACATTGCACACACACACACACACACCGCCATTATTCACTGTTATTGCCAATTTTCTAAGACCTGTGTTTGTTTTGTATTATTTTGTTTTGTTTTGGTTTTTTGTTGAGGTTTTTGCTATAAGGCGCATACGCTCACCAGAAAGACAGAGAGAGACAGAGAGAAAGAAAGTGAAAAATCACCCCCCAGGGGGGATGGCCACGCCACAATCCTTTCTCCTCCATTCTCCTCTCAGGATCTTGGGCACGCACGCACACGCGCCTGGCATGAGTTTAAGCCACTGGGTCCGGGACTCAAACCACGGTAGACTACATGGGAGTTCATAGTAACATAGCCATTACTCTAACTGCTGGTCCCAAGACCTGTGTTTCTTGAAAGCTTTCCAAAATTCTCCCTCTGGAGCCTAGGACTCCTTGATGTAAACATAGTATGATTCTTATTTTCCTTCTCTGGCAGGGAGAATAAAGTAACAGATAGTGGTGGCTGTTTCTAGCAAGGTAAGACAAAACCTATGGCTCCTTCAAAGATAACAGCTCCAGTCAGAGCAAAGAAAAGAATCCTGCAATGGTCATGAGCCCTTTTTTGCAAGTTTATTTTAGTTGGAAAATTGGACTGCCTAAAGATCCCTTTTATAAACATCCTCTCTTGTTTTTGAAAACATGCTTGTTTGCTTTTATGTTTTTATAAAAGATGAGAGGAAAGCTTGTCAAGCAGGGCCCAAAAGAAGATTGAAAAGAGAGCTGTGATTGAAGGTCACCATGCAACCTCAACTCCCACCCTGGCCACAAGAGTAAGAGAGTGACATGAACACGCACGCACACGCACCACCACAGGAGACAGCCTGTGTTCTCCCTAAAGCTCAGCATGGAAGAGCAGCCAGCCCCTCCACTGACCACCCCAGAGTCAGGAAGCTTCTGGCAGTTTAGATGCTCCACTTTAGATAGCAGATGGCAACAGTGCATCCATTCCAGGTAGCATCTATCGCTGGTTTCAACAGGGAAGAAAATATTTGGCACCAGCTGATGGCTTAATGCCTTCATCGCTGGACTCCCTAGTAGTCAAGCATGGTTTGAGTTCTGGACCCTGTGGCTTAAAAGTCATGCAGGGCACGTGTGTATGCATGCCCAAAATCCCGAGGAGACTGAAGGAGAAAGGATTGCGGTGTGACCATCCCCAGGCGGGTGATTTCTCACATTCTGTCTCTCTGTCTCTCTGGCAAGCACACACACCCTACAGCAAAAATCTCTCTCAAAAAAAAAAGATTGAATAAAGTCCTTTGCCTTTATGAAAGCCCTGTTCAGTGTCTGAAACTGGGCTTTTGGCCGATCAAAAGACTCCAAATATCTTCTTGCCCTAATTTGGATACATATTATTAATAAGTCAAGTATTCAAGTGCCTGAAACATGGTAGATAGTCCCTCAAAGATTACTCAAAAGACTGCTTTAGAGGTGGGGAGGTGATAGCTAAAAGCTATAGAATTTCTTTTTGAGGTGATGAAAAGGTTCTAAAATTGTGGTGATGGTTGCACATACCCATGAACATGCTAAAAACATCGACTTACACACTTGAAATGAGTGGGCTGTATCTCAGTAAAGGCAGAACAAAAGAATGAAAGGCTGCCCTACTGACTTCTGGTTCGTCCCACGCCAGGCCCGCTGTCGTAAGGCTCTCACTCACAGCTTACACACAAGCATCTGTGGATAAAGCAGCACGTCCCAGTCCAGTCTAAGAAATCAGCAGTCACTGTTTTACCAGTCAAGCAAAATGCCTTCACCTGTCAGATTCTCTTAGTCTCAGAGCTAGGCTGTCAAGGAAAAAGCCCCTCCCTCCCTGCTGAAGATCACGATACCTGTTCTCTTCTTCCAGTTCATCCTTCCTATTCATCATGGCCACAATGGCTTGTCGCAGTTCATCTGAGGAAAGAAAGCAAAGCCAACGTTAATTGGCGGATCTTCCTGTCATATCGTCCCTCCTCTTCTCTGGATTGTACACTATCAAGTTGTTGGGAAAGTCGTGACGTTTTTTGGTTTTCTACACAAAAATGCGTCATGACTTTCCCGACAACCTAATATTAAGGATGTCTAGATAAGTTTCCATTTTCCTTTTAAAGATAATCCCATAGGGACCAGCAGATGGTGTAAATGGCTATGTCGCTGGACTCCCATGCAGTCGACCGCGGTTCGAGTCCCGGACCCGGTGGCTTAAACTCATGTCGGGTGCATGTGTGTGTGTGCCCAAGATCCCGAGAGGAGAATGGAGGAGAAGGGATTGCAGCATGGCCATCACCCCTGGGGGGTGATTTCTTGCTTTCTATCTCTCTGTCTCTCTGTCTTTCTGGTGAGCGCATGCACCCTATAGCGAAAACCTCTCCAAAAAAAAGATAATCCCTTATACAATCTAAGACATCCAGGGGGCTCAGCTGATTGCTCTTTTATCAGCCATGCCACAGTGGATAGGAGGGCAGGGCGGGACAAGAATAAATATGGTGAACACACTCAGCACTACAGGAAACCTGGCTAGCAATTTCTAAGTGTTTTTCCAAGTCTCTGCTACTGGATGACATCTATGTTGAATGACAATTGACTCCCAGGTATAGCTGTTTATAAAGCTAGAGAGCAGATCAAGTGACCCTTGGCGCCATACCAGCATAGAAATTGTTATTCAAGTTTAATAAAAGATTCAGTCTCATTATACTGACCCCTATAGTCAGTATGCAGGTGGGAGCAGGTGTCTCCAATACGCAGGCCAGAATTATCATAGGGGCTACTCTCCCGAACATCTTCCTCATAGGGAAGCATGCATGGAGAGAAAAGGCACACCTTCAAATTAAATAAGCACCCAAGTGTCCTATCTACATCTGACTTGGTGGTTGTCACCGTCCACATGTTAAAGACTGCCAGATCACTCAGCCAGCTCTCAATTACCTAGAACTTCTGAGTGGCTCCTGGAGAGCCCGTGCATTTTGTCGATTTCCCTAATGGATCCTGTGAACTATATTCCCCTCAAAGGACTGGCCTCCAGGACACTCAGAGCCACATTCATGCATCTAGCAAGCACACATGGCCATGTGGCAGCCCCCTACTTGTCCGAACCTTCCCTCTGGTCTTCTTGCCCAGCCGGTATTTCCAGCTTGTGCCAATGTTACTTATTACCTGCCTCATTTGTTTTTGTTAAAATATGCTTTAATGTACTACCTCGAATCCTCTTTTAGAAAGAGGTATGGTTCTGGATTTCTTGCTTTTACTAAGATTTGAATACTTACCTTTGCCAAATTCTGTCCAAAGCCCTTACTGGTTCTATCTCATTTAATCTTTTACATACACTTTTGAATATGTACCATGGGGGCAGCAGGTGGCTTGGTGGTTGAGGCACTGGACTCCCACATGGCCAACTGTAGTTCAAGTCCCAAACCTATAGCTTGCTCTCTCACTTTTCCTCTCTATCTCCCTCTAGTGAGCACACATACCTTAGAGCAAACTTTTAAAAAAGGAGGAAAAAATAAAAGAATAAATATATATATATTTTTTAATTGGGCTGAATGAGCAACTCCAAATATTTCCTTTATTAAAAGAAATATGTGCCGCTAATCCCATTCGATGGGAGTATAAATAAACAGGAAAGAAGGAAATCAGGAGGAGCTACGTGAACCCACAGCTGGGTCCTCAGGTCCCTCTACACTCCTGATGCCCGTGGAGAAAGAAGCCACAAAGACCCTGAGGCAGGACATGGGGTAATGAAATCAACACGGTCCTCAGACTACCATGGGGGAGATCAAACCTCACATGCCCAGAGGTAAGAACTACTATTTATTGACACTCACGGTAACATAGATCCTCTTTTCAGATGAGGAACAAAGCACAGAAGTTCCCGGGAAGCTCAGTGCCGGGACGGCAGACACACCTGACTACATGGACACTCCTGACACTCCGCAGGCTGCCATCACGTGTGCGCTACGTCTGGACCAGGTGTTCTGAAGCCACTGAGCAGCACAGGGCCCCTGCCGACGCTGAGGCCCTCGGTGCCTGATACTGAGCTGTGAGGCAGAGCTACGTGTGATCCCGCAACTTTCCTCCATGCTTGACATTTTTCACAATTAGTTAGAAAACGCATTTTCACAAAATACATTAATAACAATTAGGAGGAAGGATGGGGAGGCAGGCCTGGGAAGGAAAGGAAGGCTGTCCAGGGAGAGCTAGCCGTGTCGGGAGGGAGCAGGCTGCCTGCCTGGGCCATGTCCTGGGCCTGCAGTGATGAGGGCTGGAGCTCACGCATTCGCTCACTCCATCAGTAAGCACATATTGCGGCCCTGCCAGGTCCAGATACCTCCCCAAGGAGAGACCCAGGCTCCAGGGAGGAGCACCCTGCACGGAACAGTCCTTGATGGAGAGCGATAACAGTCACGTGTGCCTACAATGACAGTCTGTCTGACTTTTCCTTCTGACCTTGACCAGGTAACTAGGACCTTGTCATGGAACCCTGGGCCAGAGGAGACAGCAGATGGATGGTGTGGCATCAAGGCAGTGCCCCGTACATGCCGTCGCAGGGACACTAATGATTCAGAAGAACTCATAATGCTAGTATGAGTCAGAATTTTATTTTAACTGGAAACACAGATAAACTTAGGGGGTGGGGAGTAATTTATTCCTATGACATCATAGCAGTGAAAGGGGAAAAAAAGATAATACAATTATTGAAGACTGGCAGGATAATCCCCCTTTGGCTCTTATCTTCAAGAAACCCAGAGCAGGCGGCAGCTGTGGACCGTGGACGCAGACCAGGGAATTGCTCCTTTACTGCAAGGCCTATTTGAATTCTGACATTTTTACAGGTCTTCTTCCTACTGGCACTCTCGACTGGCCCACACCTCATGCAGGTGCAAAGGAATAAGACTTCATACTCACAATATGAGGCTGGAAAGGTTAAATCTCCTAAAGAAACTTCCCTCTACTCAACGGGTGGCCTGTCACACGCATCTCTGGAGGGTAGCAGCATGCCGTGTGTCTGGTTTACATCAACAACCTCTACATGGGATCTAAGTGCAATGAAAGCACTTAGATGTGCTTTCATTGTGTGTCACTCCACACAGTCCTGAACATAGTCCAACCCCTTTCCCTTGCCTCAGCAGCACAGGTAGCGGATCCCCCTGGGTCAGTGGCCTCCTGGGGGGCCCTCCAGAGTAATTTAGACTGTACTGTTTTGACGCTGCCCACAAACATGAGCCTCTCCCCTAGTCAAATATAAATGCAACATGTTTATTTCATGGATTTCCTGGCCAGAACCTACATTTGCCCATGCTCATCCCCTACTTCCGATTTGATAAACTCATCTGAGAAGCCATCATCTGAACACACCTCTTCTGAGAAGCCCTCCCTGATTCTCCTAACCCCACAGCAGGGTGTGCAACACAGTCACCTCTATCTCCGACCATGAGCATGTGATGCCTCAAAGGTCACACACACTGTGCACCTTGCTGTCCCCAGAGCTCCCGCATGTTAAGTGTCCCAAAAAAGTTTATGGAGTTGAACTCTGTGAAAACTCTATCTGACTACCACGCTTCTCAAACTAACAGCAGAAATGGAAGCCGTGGCATAGAGAGCGTTTTCTGTGTGCCGAGCTAGGTGTCAGCCCCCGCAAGCCTGGCTCCAGCTCTTCCGCGACACAGAGCAGGAGACTGGGGCGAGCTTCCCATGCTGCCGTCCACCCCTCCATAAGGCCTAAGTGGAGACGTTGTCCTGGGCAAGTCCAAGAGCCAGAAAGAAGTAAGCCACCAAGTAGGGACATGTGAGGGGCAAGAATGAAGTGGGATTTCAGTAGCTCCCAACACACTGGCAGGAGGGGGAGG